ACACACACACACACACACACATATATATATATATATATATATATATATATTATCTACAACTCAAAAAATTTATTTTGATTTTACTTATTTTTTTCAAGTTTAATTAATAATTTATATACACAATTTTCTTCCTTCATATATTATATTTTAAAATATCTTGAACTTTATAATATTAAATAATTTAAAAAAATAATGTGCATCGGTGTAATATTTGTATACTTTATGAAGTATAATAATTATTTATTATTTTTAATTATATTAGCATTTTTAACTTTTATTATCATTATAATATTCAACTCTTTGTAGTCTTTATTTAAGTTGATACATAATTTTTTTATAAATTTATTTTATATTCACGCTTAGTTTATATATGTTCTTTTCAATTAAAATAATTATTTTATGGTATGTTAATATAAATCATTTTTATTGCTTCATAAGATAATTTACAGTTTTATTTTCATATTTTTAATTTAGTTGAAAAAATTAATTTAAAATTTATTTATACGAACATATATCATTGTTTTCTATTTTACATATGCAATATGAATGTCAAAACCACGACTGTAGGTCAGGCGAAAACTCATGGCATTGTAGGTCGATGTATTCCTAGGTTGAGAGAAGCGTCGACGATTCAATAAACACCGACGGGTCAAGCTCGAGCCTTCGTGTGACCCAGTGGAGACTCGACCTGAAAGTTATGTTGGTCATAGGATCGACCATATGACTAGCATACAGAAGCACATACGATCGGATCGTCTAACAAGAAGCCCAGGCAAATGACTACTGGTCAGTAGAGTCGAGCTCAATATTTGGCTGAAATGAGAGATACATGAAGACCGAGCCGATCAAACTCACGTGGCGGAGAAAACTTAAAATAATAGCAACTTGCGCCCGCATCATCAGTGATTGGACAAGCCTAACAAAAACTTGCCCGCCTACACGAAAAATCTCTATAGAATCATGTGCAATGTTTAATGGTTGTTATTTCTATTTAATGCACAATTGTACTGCCCGGGGAACAATAACTGAGTCATACATACTATAAACAATCATATCAAACCTTAAAGGAATGGTTCATAAAAATTCATGTAAAAAAGACATATATCCTTTCAATAAATACCATTAAATAGCGAGTGTCCGAGCTCATTGCCCATAATATCCGACCTCATTACTCATTTTTACCTAAAATCATCATTATACACCAAATTCAAATAGTTTAATTACTTGATTTTCAACACTTGGGCGATTGTTTATCAATTCACTCAAAAAAATCCAATCAAAACTCAAATTTAGTTAAACTTTAACTCAACCCCACTATCTCCAATATCATCAATATAATTAAATAATATCAACCAATCATTCAACTAATCATTCTTATACATCACATCAACTTTAGTTCACTATTCATCCACTCACATAATTTTAACTAACCATCAACTTTAATTATTTTATTTTAAATATTATTTTAATATATTCACTAACAATTAACCATACTAACTTTTTTTAAAATTAATTATAGATAAAAAAAACCAATTAATTTCTAAATGAATTCATAAACAATCACCCCCTCAATTTTTTAGCATTATCTCTCATACCGACAAGTTGAGAGTCCTTATTTTCCACCCTTTCACACTTCATTCACAATTCATCTGTGTTTTTCTCCCTCAAAGCCGGGACAATACACAATTTTGACCAAAATATCTCATTAGCTATGGAGACAATGACTCATTCTTCAACCTTCCTCCTCCCTTATCCTCCCGCCGACAACGGCGATGCGTCGACGTACGTCCTCGTCGTCCTCAACCGGCACCTCCCACGGTTCACTCCTCTCCTCTGGAAGCACGGTAATTATCACGTTTTTTTTTCCTTTTCAAATTTGTATGCCGAATTTTTTGTTTTTTGGTTTTGTGATATGATGATTTGCTTTATTCAGCCTGTTTTGTCTTGGTGTGTTACGTAGAGCAGCACAGCTCCGTATCTGTGCGGACGGCGGCGCGAACCGACTGTATGATGAAATGCCGCAGCTGTTTCCCGATGAAGATGCTGCAGAGATTCGCAAAAGGTTTGAACACGGTTTAAGTTATCGGTGTTGTTTTCTCGGATTTGAGTAGCTGATTTTTGAATGAGGTTGGAACTTACAGGTGAATATTATTATGTTAATGTTGTAGGTTGTCTTTTTGCGCTTAGGATTAAGAAATTGTGGTGGTTCAGATAGATTATAGTGTATACGAGTTGCTCTAAGAAGATGTGATTGTTGATTATAATCACGAGCAGCCATCTTTGACCTGACGAGGTTCTTCGTAGTTAGTATAATTGTGTTAATGTGTTATAGTTCTTGAAATAATTGATAAAATACGGTCAGTGGTCTGTTGAGTTACATTGTTAAAAATTAGAATACATTGATGTTGAGTTTTTTCTATGAACATGAGCATAAATATTGTTACTTTGCTTTCTCTCGTGCTGAAATCTGGTGGGACTAAGCTTTTTTGCATGAACCCCACATGGAAAAAAGAAATAGAGAAAGGCATTCCTGTTATTGGCGACCACTGTTTTTGGAGTTATTTGTTTTTTTGGTTGAACTCCGCAAAAAGTTTATTTCTGAATAAGGGCAGGAGTTTGTGACCTTAACAAAAGAACGGTTGTTGCACGATTGGTTCTTAAAGTTTATCGAATGTGGTTTATCACTAGAGTGGAACTTTTAAGAAGCAAACCATATATGATGCTAGGAATTGTGTTATTATAGCTTGAACACTGGCAATATTTACTTTTTCTTTCATATACTTCTTAAAAGCGTATGATTGATTTGTATGGGTTAAGGAAATTTGTATTTTATCCTTGGAGTTATAGCATCTACTGTTGACTCCCCTTATCTAGTTTGGAAAGTATAGGCAAAGGCGATACTTGTTATAAATATTTGGAATTTGAATCTAGTTTTTATGTAGTTATCTGATGTCGTCCATTGTTCCTGACACTTCTCCGAGGATTTAGTTTGTTGTTTATGGTCTGTTAAATTAAGTTTGTAATTAGTGTCCAATCATTTAGTTGTGCGAGAGGAAAAATTAATGTTTATGATTATTTATTTACTTAGCATGTTTGTCGGAACCAGGTATAAGCCAAATTCAATAAAAGGAGACATGGATTCAGTTAGGAAAGAAGTTTTGGGATTCTACAAAGATATGGTAAGATGATTTTATGTTGTTTCTAGAAACAACCATTGGTGTTGTTTTCCAAATTTTATTTATGTTATGGGTATACGCTTATCAATATTTCAATGGTAGTCAATGAAATATGGTAATAGTTCTCTATCTTTATGATGTGATTCGTTTAGCTGCTTCATCTGCCAAGTTTCGGGCAGTTTCTTAGATGACTAATGATACTTCCTGCTTGTGCCCACATAGTATTTGATACATTGGCAGTTTTGATCATCTGTGGAACGTGAATTTAAATTTTTATTTGTTAAGTTTTGAAGTGAATCTGATATTATGCCACTCAGTTCCTGATATTTTGGTGGTTATCTTTAAGATTATTGATTTGCTATCATTGTAATTTTGCTTTATTTTCCATTATCACCATCTGTACATTAAGTTGTTCCAATTGCAGGGAACCGAAGTAGTTGATGCATCGGACGATCAGGACACCACAGATTTACATAAATGCGTCGCATATATTCAAGAAATGCCCAATCTGAAGAATCAAGAAGTATGCTTCCTTTTTTATCCTTTTCTTTCTGAAAAACAAGGTTAATATTATTTATTTTTTCTTTTTCTTTTTCTTTTTTTAATGCCTCGTAATACTGTATTTTGCTTTCAGCTTTGTATTCTTGTTGCTGGTGCCCTTGGTGGAAGGTTTGACCATGAGGTTGGAAATATCAATGTTCTGTGCCATTTTCCAGATAAGAGAATCGTTCTTCTATCGGATGATTGCCTCATCCAACTCCTTCCTTGCAGTCATCGTCATGAGATTTATATACAGCCAGCCATTGAAGGACCTCATTGTGGGCTCGTACCTATCTGTGGACCTTCGAAAAGTAGTACAACCACAGGACTTAAGTGGAATCTCAGTGAGTATCTCTATGATCATTTCATATTTTTTGGGCACTTAATTGTGGAGCTTAGGAAAAAAAGCAACCAAACAATAATAAAGATTCGTCAGCAAGAAAATATACAAAGAAACAATATTGAAAATAAACAATATTGAAGCCATCAACAATAGTTGGGTATCTTGCAAGTTTACAACCTCGAGTTGTTAATCACAATATTTTCAAGACATAGATGCTTTATTTGCTAAGGGTGTGTTTGGATACAAATAAGTCAATCCATACTTAAAATCTAACTCAACTTTAATTCAACTCCACTATCCTCAATATTATCAATATAATTAAATAATAGAATCAATCATTCTTACACATCACATCAACTTTAATTTACCAGTCATCCACTCACATAATTTTAACTATCACTTCACATCATCTCTATCCTACTTTTAACATCAAATCAACTTTAATTATTTTATTTGAGGATTATTTATAAACTCAAAATCTCATTAACAACTAGTTAGACCCATTTTTTTTTTTTTCTCAAATTAACCATGATTAATCAAACACGCCATATATGTCGCTAGTTTCATCGCAAATGATGTAATTTCAGCTGAAACGGAAATGAGATTCGGTGGACTTATCAGCACATCAAATATCGTAAAAGGGGAAAAAGTAACTGTGCAAGCCGATACCGACCTTCTATGGACTATATCCATCAACAAGGAAGGCATGCTGGCGAGTGGTTCATATTGATATTATTATTATGCTTTTAGTCGACATGGGGGCTGATATCTTGCACTCCTCGAGCAAGAAATTGTGTTTTTATGAGTTGTGGTATAATAGTTGCGCTTGCGCCCATTTGTTGTTCGATAGAACTTGTTCTATTATTCTTTCCGAGGCCATAGTACGATTTATGTTACAAATGTCTTTAGGTTAATAAAGAGAAGCACTTATTGATGCTTCATAGTTATGTTTGAACATTTGTTGTATGAAATACTTGAGAAATGCCACTGAAATTTGTGATTTTTTTTATTCTTTTTTTTTTTTTT